ACTATAAAATAAAGCACACAAAATACACGAAAATAAGCACAAAAACACAATAAACAGCATCGCACCACTCATCTAAGTCATAACTGACATCTGACATATTGACCAAGACGTGATCACTCATCCGTCTCGATCCTTCAATCTACTTACACAAATACCACAAACAGTATAAACAGTTAAAAGCGATGAGATACACCATACATGGGTCCCCACCTGGAAGCTGGCGAATGCAAATGCTGAAATATACTGAAATATCTGGTAGCAAGTGGAGGATCGACTTTCCAATGACTTTCTCTACCGGGTCTGTTTTGGGCTTGGACTTACTTTTTCCGGCCTACTATGTGGGCTTGAGCATACGAGAGACTCACAAGATGGGGGCGTGTCAGAGCGGGCCTGTCTAGAACCTATAATGACTTTCTTCTCTACCCGGCCTACTCTGGGCTTGGACTTACTTTTGTCGGCCTACTCTGTGGGCTTGGGCTTATGAATGACTCACAAGTGAAGGGACGTGTCAGAGTGGGTCTGTCCTAGGACCTGCAATGACTTTGTCTACCCGACCTGCTCTGTTGAGCTTACTTTTCCCAGCCTACTATGTGGGCTTGGGCTTACGAAGGACTCACAAGCTTGGGCTTACGAAGGTTTCATATTCACATGTGAGTTGTTCCACATTGATTTTATAGGGTAAATGAACATAGTTTATAAGCATCGTGGGCGATTCCTCCAATTAACAATTGGTTTTGTGATGAAATTTCACTAAGGTGCACCTAAACTTAACCTTTTATGGTGCGATTCACCCTATACCCTCTTCTAATAATTTATGATTACTTTACATTGATTTGACTGATTTTAATATATGATGATACATTTTATCCTATGTTTCCCTGTTTTTATTCCATTGAATAGCCGCCAACTACAAATTGAGAGTCATTATAATCAAAATTATGCTGTGTTGATATTGAATATCATATCAAGGATACATATTTGTTCTCCTTTTTCATTCCCTCACAACATAGTACACAAAGGGTGTTTCAATGAACCGCATTCATACATTCTAATGGAGAAAATGTCTAGTTGGGCCCTTCATTTAACTGTCCCGGTAATGGATATTTAGCTACTGTTGGCCCACTCTTCCACTTGTTCACACATTCCTCCACTTTCTTAACATCTGCATTGAAAAAAGAAAAGAAAAAACATAAACAACTAAACAAATACAAAACAAAATAAAATAAACAGTTAACGTTTTTTAAATAAATCTGTAAAATCGCAGTAGAAAATAAAATAAATAAAAATTAAATAAATGTTGTTTGGTTAAAGATTTTTCCCCTAAAAAATAAAATAAATAAAAATTGATTGAATTTTGTCCAAAATGTGGAATTAACCGTTTAATTGTTGGTAAACTGAAGTAATCGAAAATATATTATGTTTTTATAATATAAATAAATAAAATTGATTTTATTCTAAAAATAATAATATATATAAAGTCATGAATATGGAGATATAGTAAAGATTTATTAATACCATCCCCAAATGTAGCACAATGTTCAAGTGCAGTTGAAGAGATGTTGGTAGGCAATTTGCACTTTATAAGGCATTTAATGAGGCACATTAACCGCTCCCCTCCGTCGTGGAAGCAGTCCCCAAGGCAGCTGCTATAGCAAGACGCCGACACGTGGCCGGCGCAAATTAGCACCATCACTGCGACCGCCGCTATCGCGCGCACAACCTTGCCTTGATGATCCATTCTTATTTTTCTATTCTTTTTTTTGTTATATAAATCTAGAATTATGATATTCAGTTCAAGTGAATTACTTCACACAGAGACGCGAATATATATAACACAATTTGAAGTGATGTTATTGTTGTTATATTTTGGTAATCAGATTTGACGAGGCAATTTGATGCACATTATTTGAAATTAATGAAATCTCTTTATAGTTAATTGAATTATAAAGCTCAATTAAAGCGCAATTGAAAAGCTCAATTATTGCGCACCAAACAGAGGATTACAGATCTTTTTTTTTTTTTTT